ACTTGATCATCATAATCATTGGTACATGATATTTCTTACATTTATTGAGTCATATTTTATAAATAGTATAGAGCCACTAAGGAGTTTTTTTAATTTTTAAATATTGCAACTAAAGTTTCGTAAAGCATCGTTTTTGGTCATTTTATATGTCACTTTTTGTTAGAGCGACTAAGATATATCGCATCAATTATATCCATTTTTTCAACATCTTGTTATTTTTGTCGAGTCTGAGATAGACTTCCTATTTTTGAGACTAAAAATGAAAGATACCCAAAAAGAAATCCAAACCTAACAAAGATACATACACCAAAACACGCACACACAGACACCCTAGCACACCCTCACACTTGCCAAATTTGACAAGGAAATTCAAGGTAATAGAGACGAATTTTCTTAGAGAAAAGAAATCGCATTCGAGTGCAGTTTCGATATTAGTATCGAATAAGGTATTTTATTCTACCTTTATTAAGTTGAGTTTCTTTGTTACATGTGGTAAAAGCATTTTTTAATCTCATGACAACAGAAGTGCCATCTTTAAATTTAAGGAAAGTTTGATCCAGTTCTCATACCATAAGCCTCATTAGATGGACAGCATTTCGTATGAGAGGGACGTACAATATATCGCATCTTCCGTAAGCTGTTTCTGGAATTATTTTTGTGATAAATATATTAAGAAAGAATGATTAATAATATTTTTCACGATTTACAAATATTACTTACATTTAAATTTGTCCCATCAGTGAGTCGCGCTATTAATTTCCTCGATTCTTCTCCGTTCTTCAACTTTAGCTTTTTGACAACAGGAACGTCAATGAACTTCCCTTTAAAATCTAGAGGTATGAAATAAACAGGTAATGGCAGTCCCAGTGAAGTTAATAAAATCACTAATTGAATATTATTTATATATTATGAAAAATTCATTGAAAATAGACTTACTGAAATTATTATTAGACTTATTGAAAATAAGCCTATTACACCGCACAAAAAATTTTGGGTTTTGGTTTGTCCTTCGAACCAAGCCAATTTTTTCGATTTCTAGGTGATATGGAAGTCCAATAATGTCCATAATAACTTCAGGAAAATTGGCTGGCGCTCAGGGCGCCGCCATTTTGACAGATCACATGTTGAGCGGTGTTATCTACTAAATAAGCGTTCAAAAAATTGCAGTTAAGAATTTATGAGCAAACATTAGGTCAAAATTTAAAAATAAAAATGAAAAACAATTTTAGAGGCAAATCACTATATAATTAAATATAATTTATATTTACTCATAAAAAAACTCGTAAAATTCTCGTAATATTTAAATTGGACTAATCGGTTAATAGGTACTATTGGAATTAATCGAACTGACTTAAGCACCCCCTATTAAATAGGGAAAGTAAAAATGCTGAAATCTATTGATTCCAAACTTACCAATTAAGTCATTTGCCTGCTTGACATCAATGATATTTCGGATGGATACAAAGGATACCTCTGGGATCTCCAATGTTTCTACAGTCAAAAACTTCGTTTCAGACTTGACAACTATTTGTAACTTATTGTCCAATTTGTTCCTTTCAACGTGAAAATTTGAAACTTCGTACGTAATATTATTCTGCAAAAAATTAATAACTATTATAAGAGGTGCGTGGCGTTATTTTGCAGGTGGTAAGCCCTAAGTGAGCCCGCCCTAATCAGGTTTTGAAAATAGGACCCAGGTTCATTTAAAATAACGTTATAAAAGTGAGCGCATTTACAGAATGCTCCGGAACTGCTGCCGCTATGCGAAGATCTTGCGCAGTGGCTGAGTAGCCAAAGCGAGGAGAACCTTCAGAAGATTGGGTCGCGTAGCGGCTAGGGGGCATAGCCCCCTAGTAATACTATGGAGATCGAGCAGCGTTACGGGGAACAAATGACAAATGAAGGCTTCGTACGTAATATTATATTCTGCAAAATATTAATTAAAATAACTATTATGAGAGATGCGTGTGAAAAGAACTTCCTTTTCCAAAATAACTCTAGAAATTTAACAAATGTATAAGAGAATTTTTTAAGTGCATTGTTATGTTTCGGAATTTAGAATTGATCACTCCATGAATTTCATTCATATCACGTAAGTTTGCATCTCTGCAATCTCATTGACACATATACTGTCGAGCCGATCAGGAACCGTTCCGGGAACATATGACAGCTTGAAGGCTAAAATCGCACCTTTAAAATCAAAAATATCACTACTTGGTGCAATCCACGCTGCAGCAACTCACGGGAAGGCGCATCTTTGGCTCCAAGCTGTCATACATTCCCCGTGTTATTTACCGTCGAGATCGTATAATGAGGCCTCCAGGACACGTGAGACGAATGTGTATTTATATGTCTCCGAATTTCAGTGGACGTACTAATTACCTATTCCCCGATAAACAACTATATGAATAACTCTGGAAATTTTACTAATATAATTTACCATTACCCGCAAAAACACTGAAAACATTTTAATATACTTTCATGCAGTAGATTATCCGGGAATAAGTAATACGCCCACGGAAATTTAAAAACATTGAAATTTCCTTACGACACTTGTGCTCTCAAAACATCACCTACAGAATATTATGAGTTTCCAAAAAAGTTTTAACCATAAAATTTTGATTAAAATGAGGAGGAAGCTCAATAGTAATGAACTCACAAAAGAATAAAACACAAAATTCAAAGAAAAATTACTCACGGCAATCTTGTTATGTATTCTGCTATCGAAGCATACACATTGTATGCTTCCGCTATTATCGAGTAAAGTGAAATAGAAAAGAGAACATGTCTTACGCTCATGGACGGGCGTTAGTCTTTTCAATACTGCTGTGATGGTAACACCGTGAGAATAACAATTAAGTTCTTTAATGGGGACTTTTAAATCTTTATTTTCAGTCATTGGTAAAAATTTTATTGGGAAGGTAAACAAAGGATCACTCCAAAATCACGATGCCTGCAGACTAAAATAATCAAAGATCAGAGCTTAAGAGAGGAAAAGTTGCATTGAAAATTGGCAGTTACCTAGGAAATGAATACATATCTGTTCTCCTCACTGAGGAGGATACTGGGAAAATTTTAAAAACTTTTGTCGACATGTTTCAAAATTCCATTTTAAATTTTAAATTTTTACTATACAATAAAAATATTTATAAAATCCTACTTACCTTCATTACCAACGGGAGAGTTTCCGGTAGGAATATAAAGTTACTCCAAAAAATCATGTTAAAGCAGAGAAGTACGGCAATGACGTAAGGACGTTTTCATTGCCGTACTGCAAGGAAAAATTTCCGTCCGCAATCCGAGCAATTCCAAAAGGAAAAAACATATATATATATGTAAAAAAGAATGATCACTTAGAAACATTCACATACAAAACCATCCCTACCCCGCGGGAGGAACGGAGACCCGGCCGCGAGGGGTCCGCCGAACGAACATCAAGGGCGCGGGACGCGCTGGGACGGCGTGGCGGGGACCGATGTTCAGAGGGTTCAAACATTCACATACAAATCCATCCCTACCGAATATATGAAAGGATTCGACATCATCTTGAGATACTATTCGGATATCTTCAAATTTAGACGGATCAGCTTCATACAAATCAAATATCAAAAAACGAATTTAGAAAATCGGTGCCCTCCGG